AGGTTTTAAGGGGTTTCTCAGTAGCCCCACCCAATCATCCCCTACTTCCAGCGACAGTCTCAGGCATTACAATCCCACCCCCTTTTCCTTACTGCCGGCTGGATGGAGACTTCAGAGAAAACTACATGAAAGGTAATAGTCCCCTTTGTTATGATTAGACCTTTTGGTGCTATCCTTTGAAGTGTATTGAAGGAAGTGAGGGCCATAAAGCCCCTTTGTTCACCACCTTCCCTTCATTGTATGACAGAATCCCGAGAAGGCAGAAATGGGGTTTTTTATAGTTGATAATTAGAGATGAAATATAATTGGATTCTGACACTCAGGTTGGTAGTTGAACTGTTAATTTGATCTCCAAGCGTGGCGATTTGGCTGCAAATGTTTCATCTCCATTCAGGGAGATATCTTCAGTGTGCTTTGAATAGTGCTCTTGTGTCAGAAAACTGACCTTTAAATTGGTGTGGGTGTTATTTGTCCAGATGTTTTTGAGTCATGGTCAGGAATCGGGCTGTTTCACTGACTGATTTGTTATTGTGAATTGAATATGATGTGTAAAGAAGCAAGAAAAATGAGCTTGTCCTTGCTGGAGAGAAGAGAGCACATAAATAGATATGAAACATAAATATTGGTCCTTCTCCTGGTCTGATAATGAACTACAATCTTCATGGATCTTTCACCCTTATAAATAACTGGAATTCTTGCTAAAACATTTGTCACCTGAGCATGAAGAATATTCAAAATGAAAAAGCTTTTGAATTAAGAGAAATTTCTCCAAAAGTTAGGTTCTCTCTTTTTAAAGGTAGAAAAGTCACTTATTAAGAAGAAAAGTGATAGATTTTGACTTATTTTCCATAACATACATCAGTCATTAAGTAAAATGTCCAACCAGATGAGCTCCAAAAGAACTATCACACAGTTTCTCTGGAAAATAAGCTAGGAAACTCTGACCTATTATAAAATTTTCTGTTGCACTTTCCTTCCATCTTCCAACATGACACTGAGATTGATACAAATAACACTCTTGGTGTCTATTTAACCAAATATATAAAGGGTACTTTTCTGCATGTGGATGGTCCCATTCTTAATTTTTAATACTGTAATGCAAGTAAAATGGACATAATTAACTAGAAATAAATGGAGTTGCTTTCATAGCTTCTATGGGCCACCATATTTTCTCTGAAGAGTCCTTTGTGCTCTCTGAACTTGGTGGTTTTCTTGCAGATATTTCATTACCAACTAGGTAACATCATCGGTTCAACAGTAATGATGTTGACTAGCACTGATGATGTTACCATTATGAAATGTGTTGGTGTTGAAGGTGTTGAAGCCATAGGAACCCTGGGAGGAAGTGATCATGAAATATTAGAATTCAACATTATAGAAGCACAAGCAATAGAACACAGTCAAATCAGAGTCTTGGACTTCAAGAGAGCTAATTTCAATAAACTTAGAGAGGGTTGGGAAGGATTCCATGGATGAGAATCCTCCAGGGGAAAACAACTCCAGAAGCTGGGAAATTTTGAAAAATGAGATAATAAAAGCACAGTCTAGCACAATACCAACAAAGAGGAAAAACAACAGCTCTCAAAAGGAACCAGCAAGGCTGCATAAAAAACTCTCTGACAAATTGAAAGATAAAAAGGACAAGTATAGAAAGTGGAAAGAGGGGAACATAACTAAGTCAGAATATCAGCAAATAGCCCGAGCCTGCAAAGATGAAGTGAAGAAAGCCAAGGCTCAAAATGAACTAAGGCTTGCGACCAAAGTCAAAAATAACAAAAAAAGCTTCTTTCAACATGTAAAAAACAAGAAAAAAAGTGAACGAAATGATTGGTCCATTAGTGGGTGGAAGTGGCAAGAAGGTGACAAGCAACAAGGAGAAAGCAGAACTATTTAACTTGTTTTTCGCATCTGTCTTTACACAAAGGGAAAAAACAGACCAACCTATCAAAAATAGTGCCATAAAAAAACAAAATAGGAACACAAGTTAAGATAGTCAAGAAAATAGTAAGTGAGCACCTGTCCAGCCTAGATGAGTTCAGATTGCCAGGACCAGATGGATTACACCCCAAGGTTCTCAAGGAACTGGCAGATGTGATATCAGAACCACTGAATTATATCTTTCAAAGATCCTGGAACACAGGGGAACTACCAGAGGACTGAAAAAGTGCTGATGTAGTTCCCATCCTCAAAAAAAGGAAAAAAATGGATCCAAGAAATTACAGACCTATCAGCCTGACCTCAATACCTGGGAAGATCCTGGAAAAGATAATCAAACAACGAATCAACAAACACATAGAGGCAAACAAAGTCATTACTAAAAGCCAATATGGGTTTGTCAAAAATAGATCATGCCAGACAAATCTTATTGCATTCTTTGACCAAGTGACAAAATTAGTGGATAAGAGGAATGCTGTGGACATAATTTACTTGGACTTCAGTAAGCCATTTGACAAAGTAGATCACAATCTACTACTTGATAAGATAGAAAAATGTGGGGTAGACAGAATCACCACCAGATGGATCCGTAGCTGGCTGACCGGCCGTACTCAGCGAGTGGTCCTCAATGGAACTGCATCTATATGGAGGGAAGTGTGTAATGGGGTGCCCCAGGGCTCTGTTCTGGACCCAGTGCTCTTCAACATCTTCATCAACAATTTGGATGAAGGGATAGATGGGGAACTCATCAAATTTGCAGACGACACCAAGCTGGCAGGAATAGCCAACACTCCAGAAGACAGGCTTAAGATACAGAAGGATCTGGACAGACTTGAACACTGGGCACTAACTAACAAAATGAAATTCAATGGTGAAAAAAGCAAGGTTCTACATTTAGGCAAGAAAAACCAAATGCACAAGTACAGCATAGGTGGCACCATGCTCAATAGTAGTAACTGTGAGAGGGACCTCGGAGTCCTAGTAGACAATCACCTAAATATGAGCCAGCAGTGTGCTGCAGCTGCCAAAAAGGCCAACACAGTGCTAGGCAGCATTAACAGAGGGATAGAATCAAGATCACGTGAAATATTAATACCACTCTACAATGCCTTGGTAAGGCCACACTTGGAATAATGCATCCAGTTTTGGTCACCACGATGTAAAAAAGATGTTGAGACTCTAGAAAGAGTACAGAGAAGAGCAACAAAGCTGATTAGGGGACTGGAGGCTAAAACATATAAGGAACGGTTGCTAAAATTGGGTATGTCTAGTTTAACGAAGAGAAGGACAAGGGGGGATATGATAGCAGTATTCCAATATCTCAGGGGCTGCCATAAAGAAGAGGGAATTAAGCTATTTTCCAAAGCACCTTAAGGCAGGACAAGAAGCAACAGGTGGAAAACTAACCAAAGAGAGAAGCAACCTAGAACTAAAGAGAAACTTCCTGACAGTGAGAACAATTAATCAGTGGAACAGCCTGCCTCCAGAAGCAGTAAATGCTCTGACACTGGAAGTTTTTAAGAAGAGACTGGACAGCCATTTGTCCGAAATGGTGTAGAGTTTCCTGCCTGAGCAGGGAGTTGGACTAGATGACCTCCAAGGTCCCTTCCAACTTTACTACTATTATATTAAATGTCTGCAAGAAAATAACTGATCTCAGATAGCACCAAAGGTTTCTCATTTCAACTCTGAGTTATAAATAACTTCCCTTATTATGACTGTAATCCCATAATTCGCAGTAGAGTCAGGGCAACTGGATGGAACTGAGCATTTACTGGCTGGATGCCTTTCCTGACACCATGTGGAGTTGGCAGCAGATATTTTTTCTTTACACTCTAAGAGAAACATCTCCCGCTATTGAATTGTCAACCACCCAAGTGGGAGGAGAGCATCTTAAGCACTAGGCCATGATTCAGCTCTGAAATTCTGATCAATAAACAGTCCTTTAATGTTTTCTTTTGCAGATGCAGTTGACTGTTTCCAATGTCCAGAAGATCAATATCCAAATGAAGCCCACAATCTTTGCATCGAAAAACATATAACTTTCTTGTCTTATGAAGAACCTTTGGGAATCACTTTGGCCACTGTAACTGTCTTCTTTTTTGTAACTTCAGCCTTGGTGCTGAGGATCTTCATTAAAGAGTGGGAAACCCCCATAGTCAAAGCCAACAACAAGAATCTCACCTATACTCTTCTCATTGCTCTCCAGCTCTCTTTCCTCTGCAGTTTTCTTTTCATTGGACAACCTGATCAAGTCAAATGTCTCATGCGACAAACTGCATTTGGCATCATCTTCTCTGTAGCCATTTCTTGTATTTTGGGTAAAACAACCATAGTGGTTCTTGCTTTCATGGCCACCAAACCAGGATCCCAAATAAAGAAATGGGTGGGGAAAAGGCTGGCCAACTCCATTGTCCTTTCTTGCTCTCTGATACAAGTCACAATTTGTGTTGCATGGCTGGCAATTTCTCCCCCATTTCCAGATTCAGACATGCACTCCATGGCTGAAGAAATTGTACTAGAATGTAATGAAGGATCAACCATCATGTTTTATACTGTTCTGGGCTTTATGGGGTTCTTAACTGCTATCAGTTTCACAATAGCCTTCCTAGCTAGGAAGTTACCTGATAGCTTCAATGAAGCCAAATTCATTACCTTCAGCATGCTGGTGTTTTGCAGCGTTTGGGTAACATTTGTTCCAACCTATCTGAGCACCAAGGGAAAGTACATGGTGGTGGTGGAGATCTTCTCCATTCTGGCTTCAGCAGTGGGGTTGCTTGCCTGTATCTTTTTCCCAAAATGCTACATTATTCTTCTGAGACCTGATTTAAATAGAAAGGACAAACTTATTAAAAAACACTGAATTGTGTTTCTGAACCTTATACTGTTTGGGAAAATTGAGACAGATGCACAAATGCACAAAATAAATATTTGTCTAATGTTGGAATGTGCCTAGGTTTATAATCATATCAACAAATAAAGTACAATTTCCTCCCATGACAATTTTGCCCAGCATTTTGCTTGCCATTTGCTCAGATTTGTTTAGTCTTGGGTCTTCATGGATCATGGGTAATGCTTTGAAGGAGGCTTAAGTATAAGATTATAGTTACCAAAATCCAATTCAGAGCTCTTAAGAAGCTAAATCCCTATCCACATTTGACAGTAGTTTCCAACTTTCTTTTAGAGGGTAGGTTACTGAGTAAATTGTGTAGATTAATTGTCAGAGCAGTCTAGGTACATGGATGCATGGATGGGAAAGTCAAAGTTCATCCACTGAACATGCTAATATATGAACTTTGGTTTTATGGAAGTAATCCTCTCCACCTATCCTTTTTATGGACCCTCACTAATACTTAATCTAACTAATAGAATAGATATTTCAGAGACATTAAGCATAAAGCAATGATGCTGCATTTATCTTCCTATTACCATCTTTGATTTTTGATTTTTTTTTTACTTTCTTTTCTGGAAGTTAAAATAGGAATCCAGATGAACATTACACTATTGCGTTCTCCAATATTCACAACCAATCAGGCTTAACAGAAAATTGGTCCATTTTCACTATAACATTTCCTGAATCAAGAGTTTATCATTAATTTTTTGTTTAGTGCCTCTATGCTCGTGAAATAATCTCCATTTTTCGATGTTGGCTGAAAATCTTTTGACTCCAGATGACTGACTGGACATGTCTTCCTGTTTTCTTGGCAAGTTTTTAATTTTAATTTTGTGATCATGGAACTGAAATGAGCACGACTATGAGGATCTCTAAGAAGTAGTACTCCTTCAATAACATCATAACTTCAATTGGTCTTTTAAAGAGTGGATATTAAATAAACAATCCATAAAAAATTAAATATGTATTGATTTTGCAGAATATTTAAATATCAAGAGATAAATAAAGAGAATTGTAGCTCAGAGTTGTCACTTGTTGAGTTGCTGCATGCATCCCTTGATTATATTAGCATCTATCAGACAAAGTTGCTGTAATTTGTTCGCAGATCCAGAGGGCCAATGCCTTTGGAGCAGTCTGGGTTCAGTATCTGGGAATAGTTTGAATCTATTGAGCCTGAGAAAACGGATCGGTCCTTATCCATCTCCTCTTTATATCCGAGTGACTTTCAAAACCAACAAACATTCTACCCTTCTATATAAACTCATTGGATCAGTGTTTTTTGCTGGTTTGGTTTCTTTCTCTGATTTACATTCCAGACAGTGGTGATTGGCAAAGAGATGTTGCCTTTGGCCCTCACTGTGCGATGTTCTCAGTAAGAGGTATCATCAGTTCAAAAAAGTGGCATACTATGGCTCTTATTTTCTAGAAAGGTGTATTTGATGGGTCCTAGAGGGTGGAAGGAAGGAAGGAAGGAAGGAAGGAAGGAAGGAAGGAAGGAAGGAAGGAAGGAAGGAAGGAAGGAAGGAAGGATTTAAATTTTATAAATAAGTGAATTTCTTATTTTAGTATTTGTATATTATCATATTCTTCAATTTATTTGTCCATGTAGTGAAAGAAGTAATGGTAAAGGACAAATAAAAATAAATAATTTCAAGTGACCATTATTTCTTTACTACAAAGAAACTGATTCAAGTTATGTTTTTGTATATGATAAAAGGGGCAACATTTGTAGCAGCAATCAAATTTCACAATTAATGAGGAAGGAGTCCTGTGACTGGTAGATTATTATTTTTTTCATTTCCCATATACAATTGATAAAGAGATTTGATGCAGGGCTGTAAAATATCAGTGGTGGATAAATGGTGGTGGCTGATGTCACTCATCAAGCCAGATAAAAAATATATGGTTCACACCGTGTGACTTTGAGGATATGGAGTAAAAAATCATTTAAAATGAGTGAAAAGAGCCAAGCTATATTTTTATTTTGCAATAAAAACAGTATTGAAAAAATATTTCCAATGGTATTCCTTTTGCATATTCACTTGACATTACACACTGTTCCCATCCCAAAGGACTCTGTACAGCTCACAGGCCTGTATCCATTAGAAAGCTTAAAAAGAAATGTCATGATTTAATTATATTGTTGTTGTTAGTTGCGAAGTCATGTCTGACCCATCGCAACCCCATGGACAATGTTCCTCCAGGCCTTTTAATTACATTACAAATACAATAATCAAAGTGTTTAAAGACCTATCAAAAAGATAAATAAAGGTGGTCGGGATTCTATAACATTATTCGTCAATTTCCTTTTAGCTCTTTGGAAAGAAAATCATGCTTTAATGTACACCCTAACAGGTCAAAGTCAGATAGTTGTTTTGTTCCAGAGAATGTAAAGTTTACAGCTACAGAACTAGAATTTGTTTATCTGAATTTTCATTATGTTTCTCTATCTCTTTTACAGTTTTCAGTTATGGGTTCTTTTTTTCCTAGCCCATACATATCATCATTCTACTTTCTCCACAGTCTCCAAGGAGCGTCACCAAACATTCAATGATTTCCCCTATAATTACCCAAAGAATCTTACTAATGTGGTTTTTTTCTCAACTCTTTCAGGAATTCTCAGGCACAGCACCAAAGGATAGCTCAAGATTGAAAGGGTCTGTTAATTGTGGGATCAGAATATTAGAGATGTAACAACCTTTTTTCCTAGAAAGAATATTTATTCTAATAAGTGAGAGTTTTTCCCCTTATGTTTCATTCTTACAGATAGAACTGGTTCTTATTTAGTGAAAAGTGTTTTCTTGAAGAAGATGGAATTTTCCATGGTAGTGATGGAAATGTTGTCAATGTTACTGCCAGGAGCTACATGCCTTATTAAAACATGTTCTGTGGGGAAACTTCCCTTTATTAAGCACAAGTATTTTCTGCCAGGAGATTTCATAATGGCTGGGATACTCTCTCAGTTCTACATGATATCGGATCCAGTTGGTTTCACAAGGCACCCATCTGAAGAACTGGTTGATGAGCTCATGTAAAGACTTTCTCTTCTTAATTTTTTGCTTTGGGGAACAGCCACCACATGTGATAAAATGTTCCTTCTCTGATTTTACATTTCCAACACTTTGGGTCTATATTTTTATACATTTTAGCCAATCTCGCTCATGTAATCAAGCTCATGTAAAGACTTTCTCTTCTTAACTATAGCATATCTTAAACCATATATCTTTCTCTAATAGGTTGCCCTGGCAAATAAATACATAAACACACTTATGACAACTCTCCTGCTGGTGTTTTTATTCAAATTCCATATTGAGATTTTCTTGGTTTTTTTTTACTGTTAAATGAATCGTTAGTGATGTACTATCAAGGTGCTGTACTATTTGTAGCTAAATCTATGTTAATCATTTAGTTCTTTCACTTAATATTAGGGAACAGTTGCATGCTTTGAATTATTTTCCAAACAGCTGTTGAGCATGCATGGAACACAGACTTAGAGCATCTCTGCTTAATGAAACATCAGTGACTTTTATTGGGATAAGATCTATCATCTACAATTATCTAAATATCTAAGAACTAAAAACAATATATATATATATATATATATATATATAAAAGAATATGGGTTTTAATACGATCATTTATCTTCCAGCAATTTATCTGTTTCTAGTAAAAATTGTTTATGATGAATTAAAAGAATCATAACTTCCTGCCTAGATCCACACAATATATCTTTCAATGCAGATTTTTCCTGCAGAACTACCAACATATCCTGGCCTTGGTTTTTGCTGTAAAGGAGATAAATGAGAATAAGCCTATATTATCCAACATGAGCTTGGGTATTGACATCTCTAACAGTTATTACATGGCGGGATTGACTTACTTGGCTTCCATGGAGCTTCTCTCAACACGTGGCAGATTCATCCCCAACTATAAGTGTGATGCCAAGGACTGGGCAGTATCTGTTATTGCAGGACCTAACTCTAACATCTGTCCCTTAGTGGCAAACATCTTGAATGTCTACAAGGTGCCCCAGGTGAGTTTTTTTTTTCTTGGACTAAGTATACACTGTAAGAATAACCTTGAAAGGTGGGAGGAAGAACTGCAGTCCTATTTAAAAAAAGACTGATAAAAGAAATTTGAGACTAAACCAGAAGTGTTCTTTGAGAAAGCATCTCAGGATGAACACCCAATCCTCCCCAATTCTCTGGAAAGTTAAGGCACAGGAAGGGAAAGTGTTTTCCTACTTGAAAGGTTAATGTCATCCCTTCCAGATTCTCCAGGGTAGCAAACCAAAATCACACATATTAATAATTCTTTTATTGTAAGGTTACAATAACAGAGTCTTGCAAGTCTTAAACTACCTCCCATTTGTTTCTTTTACACAGTGATGCTTACAAGAAAAAAAAAACAACTTTTCTTTTGTTACTTTTTTGTGGTTTGGAATTAAAGTGGCAATCCATACAATGATGAACAACATATCATGTGTTTGCAGAAGAGATAGATAATTTTAGGTACTTTACTTGATTTATTCTTCAATCTGAATCTACGATGAATGTCAGCTCTGGAGATTGTCTAGACTATAAAACAAAATCATGAATACTAGTAGTTATGTTATTGTAAGATACTGGCAGTCCAAACTATGTGTTTGCAGATGAGATGGATATTTTTTTGTACTTGGTTTATTCCATGGAATTTTCCATGGTAGTGATGGCAATGTTGTCAATGTTACTGTCAGGAGCTACATGCCGGCTGAGCATGCATGGAAAACAGATTTAGAGCCTCTCTGCCCTAATGAAACATCAGTGACTTTTATGGGGATAAGGTCTATCATTATCCCAGAAAAAAACATAATATATCTTTCATTGAAGATTTTTCCTTTATTTCCTGGTTTGGAAATAAAGTGGCAAGAAGAGATAGATAATTTTAGGTACTTTACTTGATTTATTCTTCAATCTGAATCTACGATGAATGTCAGCTCTGAAAGATTGTCTAGCCTAGAAAACAAAATCATGAATACTAATAGTTATGTTATTGTAAGTTACAATAATCTTGCAACCCTGAATGAACTCACCTGTTTTTACTTTTATAAAGCCATGTTTAGAAAACAATGAATAATAATTTCTTTCCTTGAATATTTTATTTTGGGATGTGGAATTAAATTGGCAGTCCAAATTATGTGTTTGCAGATGAGATGGATATTTTTTCATACTTTACTTGTTTTATTTCTCAATCTGAATCATCTGAACAATTAATATACAATAATTCTTTGACATATTTACAAATACACTGAAGAGAAATGTCAATATATTGTCATGCATCCATTTTCCTACCATGCTTTAGTAAAAATATTAAGAATTCATGGACCTGATTGAGTAATAGTTATCTTGATCTTTGTATTGCACACTGGTCTTTCTTCCTTCCTTCCTACCTTCCTTCCTTCCTTCCTTCCTTCTTTCCTTCTTTCCTTCCTTCCCTCGCCCCTCACAAACTTCCTCCTTCCTTCCTATAAATATTATTCATTGTAATTCAAATATTTAAAAAAGCAATGGATGGAAAGTAATCAAGAAGAGAACCAACCTAGAATGAAGGAGAAATTTCCTGACAGAACAATTAATCAGAAGAATGATTTGCTTCTAGAATTTGTGGGTGCTTCATTCCTGGAACATTTTAAGAAGAGACTGGATAGTCACTTGTCTAGAATGGATGGGCTTCCTGTCCAAGCAGGGGGTTGGATAGAAAACCTACAAGGTCCCCTCCAAATGTTTTATTCTGTTATCCTGCTAAGATTCAGGAATTACTGAATCAACAGATTGTCAAATCTATGCCATTCAAATATTAAATTAAAGGAAACACTGATTTCTTTCTAGATTATATTTTTCTTCAAGTTTGTGAGGAACACAGTCTGAATCATAGACTCTAATACCCAACTATTTTAAATCATTTTTCCCTAGCTTCTATATGGATCTGCTCCAATGAAAGATAATAGCGAAGACACAGTTTTCTTTCATCGTTTTTTCCCAAATGAGGAGCTTCAGACGAAGGGGATTCTTCAGCTGCTGTTGCATTTAAAGTGGGTATGGATAGGGCTGATTTCTCAACCTGATGAGGGTGGACGGAGTTTTGTACGGAATGCCCTTACACTGTTTTTCCAGAAAGGTATTTGCTTTGCCTTCATGCAAGAGTTGCCCAAAGAAACTGTTTCTAATGACATTGAATATATGCTTAAAGATTATGTCGCCATGTACAAGGTTGTCATGAACAGCACTGCCAATGTTGTGATCCTGTATGGTGAAAACCACGTCATTGGCATTTTCAGAACACTTCCCCATCTTTCAGAATATGAGGATATACCAGTAAAGAGAAAAGACAAAGTCTGGATCATGCCAGCCCAGATGGAGTTCACATCAGTCCCTTTTCAAAAAATATTCCCTTTGGATTTTATTCATGGTGCCATATCTTTTGCAGTTTCTTCCAAGGAGGTGACTGGGTTCAAACCATTCTTGCAGATGAGAAGCCCTACTTCAGAAGAAGAAGATCATTTAACAAAATTGTTCTGGGAGCAGGCATTTGAATGTTTTTTCCTTAAAGATAAGTTAGATGAGGATGCTGGAGTGCTGTGCACTGGAGAAGAGAAGTTGGAGACTCTTCCTAATTCTGTCTTTGAGACCACCATGACTGGGCAGAGTTACAGCATTTATAATGCAGTCTATGCTGTGGCACATGCCTTGAAAGCCATGTTTTCATCCAAATACAAACTCAGAGCAAGGGCAGACCACGGAAGGCTGATGATTATCAAGGAGGAAACGTGGCAGGTAATAATAAAAGAAATCACAATGACAGATTGATCAAGCAATCAATTTGTAAAATAAAATAAAATAAAATAAAATTGTAGCAATAAAATCTTCTCTGATGCCACCAGGTGATTTTATGATTGCAAAACATGTACATTTCAGGTTCAGTATCCACATAGTTTTCATGTTTCATGTTTCATGACAACAGTGTGGAGGAACTATGTAAAAAAGATCCAATTCAAAAAAATTCATTAAATCCCAGATTCATAATTCAGTTTAAAATTTTGTCAAACCATTTTACTTGGAGATAATATGCTTATTAATATTATGGTTGACTTGCACAGTAATATTAGGAATTTCTAAATGGTAGTTGTGTACAATTGGTGTGGGTATTTATTTCTCCAGATCAATTGCATTTATTTATTGAATTTATATGGCCGCCCATCTCATTCATATAACACTGGACACCGTGCACAGTTAAAACACAAAGCTAAAAAATCAATATAATTCAAACACAAACATTTGTGTTTGCTTTGCTTCCATTTAGCTCCATCCCTACCTGAGAACAGTCTTATTTAACAACAGTGTTGGGGAAACAGTTTTCTTTAATGAAAAGGGGGAATTGGGAACTGGATTTGAGATCATCAACTGGATCACATTCCCAAACAAAACATTTCTTAAAGTCAAAGTTGGAAAGGTAGACCCATTGACTTCTCCAGAAGAGTCTTTCATGATTTCTGAAGAAAACATCATCTGGCCGACCATGTTCAACCAGGTATTTCCTACTCATGTTTCAGGTTGTCTCAAATCCTCCCATATTCAAAAATCACTTTTTTCATTTAAGTGACTCATTAGTAATAAAATTAAGGCAATAAAATATGACGAAAAATGAAAGAGCAGAGATCAGATTACATAGGTGTTCCGTTATTAAACTTGTCTTTCCAGAAATCTATGGGCATTCCTGAATGTACACAATTACCAGCTGTCATTTTCAGGTTGTCCTACATAGGGAGCCATCTTTGAATTATAAAAGCTGAAAATCATTTAATAATAAACAAGCAACATGCTGAGATACTGTACTGGTTGAAATATCTTATTCCTGTCCATTGCTACCTTATAATTTGATTATATTCCAACGGCATATTGTCTAAGACATATTTTAAAATCCCAACTATTTTCTTTAGTTTTCTAAATTTAACCTGCAACTTTGTCACTATTAAAACATGGTCTATTTCATAATTTCTACAAGACTGACTAGATGCAATTGGAACTCTGTATCCCATGAGTAAATTCTCTGCAGTATTTCTTTTCAGGACCTATTTGGCAGAAAGGACTGGACTCAATGAAAATGCAGATAATTCCAAAGTTTAATTTCACCTATAAAGTGTAGGATAAATTACCAATCAGATTCACCTCAAAGGTGCTTTTCAAAGGCAACTGGACTTTTTTTCTTGAAAATGTTTTGCTTCTGATCCAAGTAGCTTCTTCAGTTCTCAAGGAATTGAATATTTCTCAAACATTTTAAAGGAAAAAACCACGAAAGTTGGTTGACTTTTGAAAAGCATCTTTGGGACAACCATGACCTGGATGATTGAGAATCCTCATAGATATTTACCGATCAGATTGACCAAAATGGAATTTGAGGGGAGTCCAGTTTGAACAATTAAGCCTTCAAGAAACCTCTAAGGTCCCATGGAAATACATGGGAAATACATAGGATACATAGGAAATAGATAGAGAATACATGGTTCCATGAGGACATATAGACAATGTCACATTATTATGGTGGCATTCATTAAATGTGCCTATCTAATAATATGTTGAATTGAATCCTATATATAGAATTTCTCCAAAAGCTATGCAGATATCATATACAGAATATCATATACAGAGTGAAATATGAGTGTATAAAGTACAACTATTGAACTCTCTCCTGGTTTCATTTCTGAATAGGCATTACCACTTTCTGTATGCAATGAAAATTGTTATCCAGGCTACCTGAAGAAAAAAATAGATGAAAAGCCCTTTTGCTGCTATGATTGTCTTCCTTGTGCAAAGGGGAAAATTTCAAACAGATCAGGTAAGATGTGCTTAATGAGAAGACTTATTAATTGTCACCAGCAATATTGTATACCTATCTGTGTTTACTCTGCATGGTATTGTTCTCAAATGTAATCAATTATTCAGAATTTGGAGTATTGGCCTCATTGAAGCAAGATAGCCCCAGTATTAGATGAGATACACTTGAATATTACTATCTCAGGTTGGTAGTTGAGCTGTTAGTTTGATCTCCAAGCTTGGCGATTTGGCTGCAAATGTTTCATCTCCATTCAGGGAAACATCTTCAATGCGCTTTGAATTGTGCTCATGTGTCAGAGCACTGACCTTTAAATTGGTGTGGGTGTTATTTGTTCAGATGTTTCTGAGTCATGGAGAGGATTTGGGCTCTTTGACTGATAGGTTTGTTTTTATGAATTGAATATGATGCTATTTTAATATAAAGAAGCAAGAAAATGAGCTTGTCCTTGCTGGAGAGAAGCAAGCACATAAATAGATATGAAACATAAATATTGGTCCTTCTGCTGGTCTGATAATGAACTACAATCTTCATGGATGTTTCACCCTTATAAATAACTGAAATTCTTACTAAAACTTTTGTCACCTGAGCATGAAGAATATTCAAAATGAAAAAGCTTTTGAATTAAGAGAAATTTCTCCAAAAATAAGGATATCTCTTTTTAAAGGTAGAGAACTCACTTATTAAGAAGAAAAGTGATAAATTTTGACTCATTTTCCATAAAATACATCAGTCATTAAGTAAAATGTCCAACCAGATGAGCTCAAAAAGAGGTATCACACAATTTCTCTGGAAAATAACCTAGGAAACTCTGACCTATTATAAAATTTTCTGTTGCACGATCCTTGCATCTTCCAACATGACACGGAGATTGATACAAACAACACTCTTGGTGTCTATTTATCCAAACATATACAGGGTACTTTTCTGCATGTGGATGGACCCATTCTTAATTTTTAATACTGTAATGCAAGTAAAATGGACATAATTAACTAAAAATAAATGGAGTTGCTTTCATAGCTTCTATGGGCCACAATGTTTTCTTTGAGCAGTCCTTGGTGCTCTCTCAGCTTGGTGATTTTCTTGCAGATATTTCATTACCAAACTAGGTAACATCATCAGTTCAACAGTAATGATGTTGACTAGCACTGATGATGTTACCAAGTTTGATTATGAAATGTCTGCAAGAAAACAACTGATCTCAGATAGCATCAAAGTTTCCTCATTTCAACTCTGAGTTATAAATAACTTCCTTATTATGACTGTAATCCCATAATTTGCAGTAGAGGCAGGGCAACTGGATGGAACTGAGCATTTACTGGCTGGATGCCTTTCCTGACACCATGTGGAGTTGGCAGCAGATATTTTTTCTTTACACTCTAAGAGAAACATCTGCCGCTATTGAATTGTCAACCACCCAAGTGGGAGGTGAGCATCTTAAGCACTAGGCCATGATTCAGCTCTGAAATTCTGATCAATAAACAGTCCTTTAATGTTTTCTTTTGCAGATGCAGTTGACTGTTTCCAATGTCCAGAAGATCAATATCCAAATGAAGCCCACAATCTTTGCATCGAAAAACATATAACTTTCTTGTCTTATGAAGAACCTTTGGGAATCACTTTGGCCACTGTAACTGTCTTCTTTTTTGTAACTTCAGCCTTGGTGCTGAGGATCTTCATTAAAGAGTGGGAAACCCCCATAGTCAAAGCCAACAACAAGAATCTCACCTATACTCTTCTCATTGCTCTCCAGCTCTCTTTCCTCTGCAGTTTTCTTTTCATTGGACAACCTGATCAAGTCAAATGTCTCATGCGACAAACTGCATTTGGCATCATCTTCTCTGTAGCCATTTCTTGCATTTTGGGTAAAACAACCATAGTGGTTCTTGCTTTCATGGCCACCAAACCAGGATCCCAAATGAAGAAATGGGTGGGGAAAAGGCTGGCCAACTCCATTGTCCTTTCTTGCTCTCTGATACAAGTCACAATTTGTGTTGCATGGCTGGCAATTTCTCCCCCATTTCCAGATTCAGACATGCACTCCATGGCTGAAGAAATTGTACTAGAATGTAACGAAGGATCAGCCATCATGTTTTATACTGTTCTGGGCTTTATGGGGTTCTTAACTGCTATCAGTTTCACAGTAGCCTTCCTAGCTAGGAAGTTACCTGATAGCTTCAATGAAGCCAAATTCATTACCTTCAGCATGCTGGTGTTTTGCAGCGTTTGGGTAACATTTGTTCCTACCTATCTGAGCACCAAGGGAAAGTACATGGTGGTGGTGGAGATCTTCTCCATTCTGGCTTCAGCAATGGGGTTGCTTGGCTGTATCTTTTTCCCAAAATGCTATATTATTCTTCTGAGACCTGATTTAAACAGAAAGGACAAACTTATTAAAAAACACTGAATTATGTTTCTGAACCTTATAGTGTAAACTCTCCTCACTGTTGTGTTTCCTTTTTCTGCTAGTCTTTGCAGTTTGGGAAAACTGGGTCAGATGCACAAATGCACAAAATAAATATTTGTCTAATGTTGGAATGTGCCTAGGTTTATAACCATGTCAAGAAATAAAGTACAATATCATCCAGTGGCAATTTTGCCCAGCATTTTGCTTACCATTTGCTCACATTTGTTGTCGTCTTGGGTCTTCATGGATCATGGGTAATGCTTTGAAGGAAGCTTTAGTATAAGATGATAGTTACCAAAATCCAATTCAGATCTCTTAAGAAGCTAAGTCCTTATTGGAATATGAGTTTCGAACTTTCTTTTGGAGGGTAGGTTATTGAGTAAATAGTGTAAATTCACTGTCAGACCAGTCTAGGTGCATGGATGCATGGATGGTAAAGGCAAAGTTCATCCATTGGACATGCTCATAGATGAACTTTGGTTTTATAGAAGTAATCCTCTCCACCTAGTCTTTCTGTGCCCTCAGTAATACTTAATATAACTAATAGGATAGATATTTCAGAGACATTAAGCATAAGGCGATGATGTTGCATTTATCTTCCTATTACCATCCTTTGATTTTTGATTTTTGTTTTACTTTCTTTTCTGGAAGTTAAAATAGGAATCCAGATGAAGGATAAGCTTTTACATTCTCCAATATTCAGAACCAATCAAACTTAACAGAAAATTGGTCCATTTTCACTATAACATTTCCTAAATCAAGAGTTTATAATTAATTGTTTGTATACTGCCTTTATGCTCGTGTAATGATCTCCGTTTTTAGATGTTGGTTGAAAATTTGTTGACTCCAGATGACTGCCTGGACATGTCTTCCTGTTTTCTTGGCAAGTTTTTAATTTTAATTTTGTGATCATGGAACTGCAATGAGCACAACTATGAGGATCTCTAATGAGTACTGCTCCTTCAATAACATCATAACTTCAATTGGTCTTTTAAAGAGTGGATATTAAATGAGACAATCCATAAACAATTAAATATGTATTGATGTTGCAGAATATTTAAATATCAAGAGATAAATAAAGAGAATTGTAGCTCAGAGTTGTCACTTGTTGAGTTGCTGCATGCATCCCTTGATTATATTAGCATTCTCAGACAAAGTTGCTGTAATTTGTTCGCAGATCCAGGGGGCCAATGCCTATAGAGCAGTCTGGCTTCAATATCTGGGAATAGTTTGAATCTATTGAGCCTGAGAAAATGGATCGGTCCTTATCCATCTCCTCTTTAGATCCAAGTGACTTTCAAAACCAACAAACATTCTACCCTTCTATATAAACTAATTGGATCAGTGTTTTTTGCTGGTTTGCTTTCTTTCTCTGATTTACATTCCAGACAGTGGTGATTGGCAAAGAGATGTTGCCTTTGGCCCTCACTGTGTGATGTTCTCAGTACGAGGTATCATCAGTTCAAAAAAGTGGCATACTATGGCTCTTATTTTCCAAAAATATGTATTTGATGGGTCCTAGAGGAAGGAAGGAAGGAAGGAAGGAAGGAAGGAAGGAAGGAAGGAAGGAAGGAAGGAAGGAAGGAAGGAAGCATTTAAATTTTATAAATAAGTGAATTTCTTATTTTAGCATTTGTATATTATCATATTCTTCAATTTATTTGTCCATGTAGTGAAAGAAGTAATGGTAAAGGACAAATAGAAATAAATAATTTCAAGTGACCATTATTTCTTTACTACAAAGAAACTGATTCAGGTTATGTTTTTGTATATGATAAAAGGAGCAACATTTGTAGCCAGCAATCAAATTTCACAATTAATGAGGAAGGAGTCCTGTGACTGGTAGATTTTTTTTTTTTCATTTCTCATATACGATTGATAAAGAGATTTGTTGCAGGGCTGTAAAATATCAATGGTGGATAAATGGATTGGTGGTGGCTCATGTCACTCATCAAGCCAGACAAAAAATATATGGTTCACACCGTGTGACTTTGAGGATATGGAGTAAAAAATCATTTAAAATGAGTGAAAAGAGCCAAGCTATATTTTTATTTTGCAATAAAAACAGTACTGAAAAAAATGTTTCCAATGGTATTCCTTTTGCATATTCACTTGACATTACACACTGTTCCCATCCCAAAGGACTCTGCACAGCTCATAGGCCTGCTTCCATTAGAAAGCTTAAAAAGAAATGTCATGATTTAATTATATTGTTGTTGTTAGTTGCGAAGTCATGTCTGACCCATCGCAACCCCATGGACAATGTTCCTCCAGTCCTTTTAATTACATTACAAATACAATAATCAAAGTGTTTAAAGACCTATCAAAAAGATAAATAAAGGTGGTCGGGATTCTGTAACATTATTCGTCAATTTCCTTTTAGCTCTTTGGAAAGAAAATCATGCTTTAATGTACGCCCTAACAGGTCAAAGTCAGATAGTTGTTTTGTTCCAGAGAATGTAAAGTTTACAGCTACAGAACTAGCATTTGTTTATCTGAATTTTCATTATTTTTCTCTATCTCTTTTACAGTTTTCAGTTATGAGTTCTTTTTTTCCTAGCCCATACAAATCATCATTCTACTTTCTCCACAGTCTCCAAGGAGCGTCACCAAACATTCACTGATTTCCCCTATAATTACCCAAAGAATCTTACTAATGTGGTTTTTTTCTCTCAACTCTTTCAGGAATTCTCAGGCACAACACCAAAGAATAGCTCAAGATTGAAAGGGTATGTTAATTGTCGGATCAGAATGTTAGAGACGTAACAACCTTTTTTCTTAGAAAGAATATTTATTCTAATAAGTGAGAGTTTTTTCCCCTTAGGTTTCATTCTTACAGATAGAACTGGTTCTTATGTAGTGAAAAGTGTTTTCTTGAAGAAGATGGAATTTTCCATGGTAGTGATGGCAATGTTGTCAATGTTACTGTCAGGAGCTACATGCCTTATTAAAACATGTTCTGTGGGGAAACTTCCCTTTATTAAGCACAAGTATTTTCTGCCAGGAGATTTCATAATGGCTGGGATACTCTCTCAGTTCTACATGATATCGGATCCAGTTGGTTTCACAAGGCACCCATCTGAAGAACTGGTTGATGAGCTCATGTAAAGACTTTCTCTTCTTAACTATAGCATATCTTTCTCTAATAGGTTGCCCTGGCAAATAAATACACAAACACACTTATGACAACTCTCCTGCTTGTGTTTTTATTCAAATTCCATATTGAGATTTTAATTTTTTTACTGTTAAATGAATTGTTAGTGATGTACTATCAAGGTGCTGTACTATTTGTAGCTAAATCTATGTTAATCATTTAATTCTTTTACTAAATATTATAATGCTTTGAATTATTTTCCAAACAGCTGTTGAGCATGCATGGAACACAGACTTAGAGCATCTCTGCCTTAATTTAACATCAGTGCTTTTATTGGGATAAGATCTATCATCTAAAAATATCTAAAATATCTCAGATCTAAAAATATAACATTTGTTCTCAAGTTTACTCCAAACAAACTTTTCATGCCTATATCCGCCATAAAACATAACCAAGAAGAAGATGAAAATATAAGAATATTATATTATAATATTATATTATTATATATCTATCTTTGGTTATTCGGGTTTTTTCCCATGTCAAATTGGAAGTGTCTTGGCGACGTTTCGACGAAGTCTCATTCGTCACCTTCAGGCTGGTGCTTTCGGCTTCGTGCTTCCAGGAGCATATATTTGTTTTCTGAGGTTTTCGCGGGTGTTTGTATGTAGGTCTTTGGTTATTTGGGTTTTCTCCCGCGTCAAATTGGAAGTGCTCCTAGAAGCATGAAGCCGAAAAAATCAGCCTGAAGATGATGAATGAGATTTCATCAAAACGTATGGGTTTTAATACGATCATTTTTCTTCAAGCAATTTATCTGTTTCCAGTAAAAATTGTTTATGATGAATTAAAAGAATCATAACATCCTGCCTAGATCCACACAATATATCCTTTCTTGCAGATTTTTCCTGCAGAACTACCAACATATCCTGTCCTTGGTTTTTGCTGTAAAGGAGATAAATGAAAATATGCATATATTATCCAACATGAGCTTGGGTATTGATATCTCTAACAGTTATTACATGGCGGGATTGATTTACTTAGCTTCAATGGAGCTTCTCTCAACACGTGGCAGATTCATCCCCAATTATAAATGTGATGCCAAGGACTGGACAGTATCTGCTATTGCAGGACCTAACTCTTACATCTGTCCCTTCATGGCAAACATCTTGAATGTCTACAAGATGCCCCAGGTGAGATTTTTTTTCTTGGACTAAGTATACACTTTAAGAATCACCTTGAAAGGTGGGAAGAAGAACTGCAGTCCTATTTTTAAAAAGTCTAATAAAAGAACTTTGAGACTAAACCAGAAGTGTTCTTTGAGAAAGCATCTCAGGATTAACACCCAATCCTCCCCAATTCTCTGGAAAGTTAAGGCAGAGGAAGAGAAAGTGTTTTCCTACTTGCAAGGTTAATGTCATCCCTTCCAGATTGTCCAGGATAGGAAACCAAAATCACACATATTAATAATTCTTTTATTGTAAGGTTACAATAACAGAGTCTTGCAAGTCTTAAACTACCTCCCACCTTTTTCTTTTACAAAGTAATGTTTACAAAAATACAACAAATAAGGCAACTTTTCTTTTTATTACTTTTTTGTGGTTTGGAAATAAAGTGGCAATCCAAACAATGATGAACAACATACTATGTGTTTGCAGAAGAGATAGATAATTTTAGGTACTTTACTTGATTTATTCTTCAATCTGAATCTATGATGAATGTCAGCTCTGGAAGATTGTCTAGACTAGAAAAAAAAATCATGACTACTAATAGTTATGTTATTGTAAGTTACAATAATCTTACAACCCTGAATGAACTCACCTTTTTTTTTTTTTACTTTTATAAAGCCATGTTTAGAAAACAATAAATAATAATTTCTTTCCTTGAGTATTTTATTTTGGGATGTGGAATTAAAATGGCAATCCAAACTATGTATT